TTAAACAACGATCAAGAGTTGTTTTAACCATGGCGTCGATATTCAGGAACCAGAGTTTTTCGCGAATTAATGCTTTGGTTTTAGTTAGACCCAGGTGCGTCTCGTGGGCGATGTCAATGCGCGTTGTTGTAACGCTTGGGGGATGACAATTCGATGTCCACACAGTATAATGTTATTATTATTAAAATTAATGGCTTCTCCCAAAAGGGTTTTTCAGAACCCATTTACAAAATTATTTAATAAAAACTACAATTGTAAAATAAAAATAAAAAACGACTGATATCCAAGTTTTTAGTAGTCTAAATAGAGAGTAGTCTAGTGTAAATAGACAGTAAGTGGTCTTTAAGCTGACTTTTGAGTCGCAGTTCCGCGTAGAGCGATTATGAATAGAAGATCGCTCCTCAAACATATCACAAAGATATTTCGGTGCTAAGTTATTCATACACTTGAAAGTCATCACGGAAATAAAGCAATTTGTCCTGTGATTATTTTACATGCAAAGTTTTGTATAGATTGAAATTTCTTTATATTAGTGTATGTTGTATTGACCATACAGTGGAACAGTAGAGCAGTTTACTAATCACTAATGAAGTGATTATCATTGTAAGTGTTCCCTTGTCAAAATTATTTTTAACTCTGTTTATCTGGCACAGTTTATTTATAAAGGCAAGACGACACTAGATTCGATATGTGCTTATCGTATTAACTTAGGTGACTGTCCATTAGAAGTCCTAGATATTTGGCAAAATCAACAGGTTTCTAGAATCTTCTCCATAAAAGAGATCGTGCTCGTCGCGTTGTCGGGCGATGTCGATTCGACGTCTTTAGCTTGGAAAGCGCTCTGTTCGTCTCGGCGACCTTCTAAGAGCTTGGCAGCTAGATTAAAACTTGGATCACGCAACGCACGTTTGCCGATTTTGGAAGAGGCCCCTCCAATAATTATTTGTTCTTCGATTTCGAAGTCTGGCCGGATGCGAACTCGCACGTTTGGGCTAAAGTTCGAAGCCGTGTGTGAAACTGATCGAGAGTTTCCCTTGATTCTTGCACAGCCTTTCGAAATGAGTACACCCCGTAGCGTCTGTTTTTCTGCGGTTCGAAATGGGCAAGTAATTTCGCTTTGGCAATGTCATAGTCTTTGTCTTCGCCAGTGTCAGGCAGTTGTTTAAAGATTTCGCGCACTCTGGCTTGCGCCAGCTTGGTATAGCAGCAAGGTTCGTTGTCGTTTGGTATCCGTAACGCCACTAGCCAGGAGAAACATGCCAAAGTCTGCGACCAATTTTTCCAACGTGGAGCGAGGCTCGCTCCAAGTTCAGCGTCGGGGTTAACTCGGGCATTGGGCGAATAGGTATACTGAATGTGCCATGCTGATTGTTAGATTGTTAGATTGTTCCTCTTCTTCGTGATCACTGGCCATAAATATAATATAAATATATTTCCATGTGGGGATGAGCCGATTAATTGGCTTTCAGAGCTGATAATCGGACAATTTTTAATAAGCTGCTACACTAATACGATTATTTGGTATTATCGGCCACCGATTAATCTAATCGGCAATTTCAGCAATCGGCTCACCCCTAATGCCTAGCAATAGCAGGAGTCAGACTACGATTTATGGATTGTTGACATGGAAGAGATTATTTCGCTGGCCTCAAAGTGACAAAACGTAACAAAGCAACGGTTTTACTAATACTAACCCTACTACAAACACCAACTCTAACCATGATCCTAATCCTAACCGTAATCTAACCCTGCTCCAAATTTGTTTCTAACCCAATCTTGAAGAAAAAAGTTTTGACGAAATGTCATTCTGAGGTCAGCGAAATAGTTGATGCCTGTTAACATGAAGAGAATTAGCCTTTCTCACGCCGCCATTTTTGGGTGGCCTTTCAGCCGAAGTCCACATAACAACGACTTTTTATAATTTTTTTGGACGAATAATGGTAAATTTGCTTAGTTTGTAAATGTTAGTTTATTTTGAAAAATTGCTTTTCACATTGTTTAATTGTCTGCATTGGTTAACGAGAATTAGATGCCACCCAAAAATATATTCGTCATCGTGAGAAAGGCTAATTAGACAAAATAATTGTTTAATTTAACCTGAAAATAATTTTCACACATTGAGCAGCATTTTGTACAACCTAGTACCCAGGCTATTTTCTCTTATGCTTTGGTGCCACGGCTACCTGCTGAGACCCTGGATACGAGTGTGCATTTTGGGCTGAAAACTTTTAACCGTGCGCAACAGAATAGCATGTTGGGTTTGTACAGTGGGCACCAGTGTTCAGTTCATTTCAATGAAAATCTGACACAGTGAGATTCCGCCATCTACATGTAGCACTGCAACGGCATAATGAAAAATATTCTATCCTGTGCAGGATACAAAATTCAGTGACAACTGTGTGTGACTGAAGCTTGGGATAAAACTAGAATATATAGGATATCGCTAGAAGTAACGGCTCTCTCGAGGCCAGAATGTGACTAGTTACCATTATTATTTATCAATTTTTGCAACTAATTACAGTTACTAGTTACCTTCCCAAAAAAGTAACTACAGTACATGTACAGCAGATACCGTTACTAAAAAATGTAACAATTACATGTAACTAGTTACTTGCAACAAAGTTACTCACAGCACTGGTTACCAGGCTTATAGCCAGAAGGGCGTCCCCCTAGAACAAAAAATGGACGCCTTTGGACGCCCAAATTTTGGGAAATTATTTTCAATGATTTCCTAAGTATATTATTATATCTGAAACGAAATAGCTTCAATTCTCATTATTATTATACATTTGACATTTTGATCAATCTGACTGAATGAAAATGTCGTAGTTAAGTAAAGAAGCATAGCGGCACAAACTCACAAAGCTAAGTGTGTAGATGTATCGTCGTACCAAAATTGGACGCCCTCTTTTAGGACCCTGGCTAAAAGCCTGCTGGTTATTGTTAATTGTAACATATTAATCCCTTTTAATTACTTGTTTATTTAGAGCCATATACCTCTGTTTGTCAATCGGTTAGATTCTGTGGAGACCATCATTCCATATGAATACAGCAGGTTTGTTAAAAATGAAACTAAACAAAAAATTTCAACAAAATTTCATAGTTACTACTGTCCCCCCATTTCTTTGGAGCTTGCCTAGTATGCAGATCTACACAATACTGTATGACATACAGGTATTGTGCTATGCCTTTAATTGGGCGTTTATATTGGTATTACAGTAGAAACCATGGATCTTGATACTTGTCAGCCCAAAACAGTATGTTTGATGTTTCAACTGAATACACTTCGTTAGGATAGTACAGTTCAAGATGGTTTCCATCTGTTTCTGGTGTTAAATATGACTGTGTACAGTACAAGTAGAATTTTAAAACTATCTTGGTTGTGCATCCCCTTGTGAATTTCCAGTATCCCTGATTTGAAAATGTTGAAATCATCTGATGGTTAGCAAACTTTCTGTGATGTATGAAATTTTCATGGCAGTTGTTGTTGTTTACATATCAGTGATCCCTCTCGTATTTCTATACACTCATGTTGGATGATGCTTGCTGGCTTTTTGCAACTTACAGTTTTATTTGGGTCAATTTCATCCCAAAACATACAGTAGTTTTTGTGCAAATGTATGAAAGATCACTTTAGAATTTTAATTTTTTTTTTAGATTTGATTTTTGTTCTCCTAGTAATCAGGATTATGCTCCGTCCGAAAATCTTGGACAGGTACATTATAGAATTGTTAATTGTATTGTACGATTGTATGGTAGTTAAATAATGAATGAGATTATTTGAAGAAGATGCATGATTGTATATTCAATTCATGCAGTAATACTAATATACTTTTTTTAAACCTTCAATATGAGAGCCTGGCCTTCCTTGCCAAACACAGTTCAAATTCAGGCCGATGTACAGTACTGACTTTTTCAGTACAGCATAGCTAAGATAAGATAAGATAAACACTTTATTTATACACGCTGACCCCGTCAACCGAAGCTGATTTCCACGAGGGGTGTGTGCAAAAATAGAAAAAAATCCATAAAGAATGATATTAAGAGTTACTTGCAAAATACTGAATTATTTACATGATACGAACGTTATTAGAATATTTACAGGCTCAACAATTTACTTGTTACTCTATGTCAATGATGTCAGCAGCGATTTTATTTCAAAAGGAAGAAAGAGTTTTGCTTTCCCTAATTTCCTTTGGAATAAATTCCAAAGGTATGCTCCGTCATACATGAAACTATATTTCATATTGTTAGTACGCGGATTTGGTAAACTAAGACCACTTGAAATTTCCCGAAGATTGTAATTTGTTTTCTCACTTTCGAGCATGCCAAGTATCTAAGGAAAGATATGATAACATACACTTACTACAGCTCGAACAGTCTGTGTCAGTGTTGGTAGTGCCAGAAATAAGAAAGTTTTGGATTGATAGGAATACAACTACAATACCTGAAAAATACAAGGAACACTTTGATGTTTCAAGTGAAGGCCCTTGAACGGGAAGTTATACTGGAACCAATTTAGTCTAGTAACTTCCCGATGAAGGGCCTTCGCTTGAAACATCAAAGTCCTCATTGTATTTTTCAGGTATTAGTTGTATCCCTGTCAATATGAAGCTTACTTTCTACAGCTTCTCTGTGTTTACCTGAAAATCCTTCAGACAATCTTTGTTGGCATCATCAATCCATTTTATCTCTGCTGTATTATGTTTATTGTTCACAGATGACAGATATTTGGATAAAATGCTCCCAATGCTCAAATTACTAAAATTAATAGAAACATTTACATGTTTTGACCACTGATTTACTACTTGCAGCGAGCCTCATCTTCTAATGCTTCGAAAACCTGATAAACGCTCGGAAAACATTTTTATTTCTTTCTAAATACAGAGATAAAATACAAATTATTATACATGATTGTACAACAGAGAAGGAGGAAACGTGATTGGATGAACCTAGTTTAGAAAATCGTATATCAACGTCAATAATTAAACATATGCCAACTTAGTTGTAGAACATACAACCCCGTACAGCATTTCTGAAGCATTCTTAACAGGTCCAATGTAAACAAATCCTAAAATTATTTTGAATTTATTTAGCTGTGCCTAAAAATAATTGCATCAAACATTTCCTCAGGCTCAGTAGTACTGTACCTGTAGGCTGTAGCTATTTTTTGTTGTGTCTGAAATTCTTGTCTCTTTTCATATTATCTTAAATTCTTGTCTCTTTTTTCATAGGTTGTCTTTGGTGAACGAATTCAACCATCAGCCTATAATGTAATTGTGAAAACATAAGTTTGCTCTTTTAATCCACCAAGTTCTCTTTAGTCCCAAGCAATAAGCAACAAAACATACTGTAAATAAGTGATCGATTTAAAAGACGACCAATCGTGTGCATAACATTCTTCAATGTAAAGAACTGTTTTCAGCGGAAATTGCATCAAGTGTAAAAGGCCTTCAATTCCTGTAAAATTTCCCTTCGACTCTTAAGGGTTCAATTTCTCCATTTTTTTGTGCAGTGCAATGGTGGTTTCAGTTAAGAGGAGAAATATTGTTATAATTATATTTCTTTTCAGATAACATTTAAAGATGATAAATGTGACAAAGCATGTGGTAAGGTATATAGTAAAGAGGATGTCAAGGGTGAAAAACTGAACTTCATTAAAAATGGAATAAGATTAAACTACCAGCACCACTGGTGAGTGTTAATCACATGATGTGATGTTACATAGACTGTAAGCAAGATGAAGCAGCAAAATAGTGCGAGGCCATTAGACCATAATGCAATGGCGAAGCTAGCCATGGTAACTGGTTTTGCTATGGCTAGTTTGCCACTGCCATAATGAGCATTAATGGGCATAAAGGAATAAATAGCGGCTGTCTCAGTCGTACTCTGGTTGAAAATTCCTGCTTAACCTAGAATAACACTTACTTGGGTTAACTTAATAATCCTGGTTAAATTTCCACGTTATTCATGGGCGGATTTACTGGGGTGGAGGTTAGGGGGGTTAAACGCTCCTTAGAATCTCTCTAACCTCTCTTATAAAATGTTCAACCCCACCAAAGTTCACTCCTCAGGACTATTTTGTGTGAAAGTCTTTAACCCTAACCCCTGTAAAAAGCTTGCTCTGTGGTGTCGCTTGTACCTCAGTAGAAGTTTTTCACCCCTCCTTTAAAAAAATGAAAATCCGCCCTTGAAGTTATTTTATCTCACTCCTTTTATCACCACTCCTGGTTAATGTAACCGTGAATCTACTTTTATTTGAACAGGACGTCCGTGTTAAAGGGGCAGTGTCACGGTTCTACTGCGCATCCAAAATATGCGCGAACTTGAAAAACTGTCTGGCAACAATTAATCAAGTTAGGAGTGAAATACGATATACTATTTATAATCCCTTCGTTATGCAGGACATCCTTGCTTTGTTTTAAAATTGAAGGCTGCTGCATCTTTTCCAATCATGTAGCAATAATTTTAAACGTTTCTTCGCGCCGTTTATTTTAGCAGACTTAGCAGATTATGCTAAGTGGATATACTGTATAATCAGAGCCCCTGGTTCAGGGGTGGATTTATAGGGGGGGGGGGTGCACAGGGGTACGCACCCCTGTTGGCCTTGGTCAACAGGGGTACAAGGGGGTGCAAAATATGGCACAATTTCCAAGGTTTTTCCTTTTTTGAAGTCATACTGAAGCTCATAATTCAATGCCCATATGCAATATCGCAGGAAATGGCATTTCTAGGGTTCTAATTTTCAAAATGTTCCGAGGGGCATACCCCTGGACCCCCTAGGGAGCTTGCGCCTTGGGCGCTCAAGTTGTTAGGAAGCCAATTCATTTGAATTAAAGAAATACTCGGCTGCTCACCCAGTACCCCCCTTAGAAAAACCTTGCTGGATCCACCCCTGCCCTGGTTATTTTTTCACCTACAGCGTACTGTAGTCTGACTAATTTAATAAGGAATTAACTCAAGTAGGGTTGTTTTTAGGTTATATCCTTTTTTAGAGTGCAGCAGTGTCTTTGCTAGAAGGCCATATATCAGTGTAAGCCGTGTTAACACGACCAAAAATGACCAAATACGACAAAATAGAATGAAAGCGTTAGGTTGGGCGGGGTTTTCTTTCCGAAAGCCGAGTCGGACGTAAAAAACACACGATAAAACCGCGTGTGCTGGTGTATATCGTATATAATTAGCTGTATGTATTTACTGTATAATTAGATTAGCTGTATGTATTGGTCGTGCATATCGTGAGAATAAATGACAAATTGACAATTCACGACAATTTCTCGTTTAGCTTTCCAGTTTCCCAGTTTTGCCAAACCGAAAAATCGTTTCTGAAGAAAAACCCATGATATCTACCAGTTTACCAATAAACCGTCCCAGCCTGCT